GGTGTGGGAGGGGGCTCCACAGCGGTAGCGAGCCCAACCGGTTGTTTCTTTCGTTGCTCTGGTTTCCATGTAGTCTCCACGCGGCTGTCCCGACCTTGAACTCAGAGCTTGTCGTTGTAAGGCGTGGACACCCAGTTCTTGCCCCTCTGGCTGGAATTTGTTCGTCTCGGAACGGGCTAGTTCAATACTTCGGGCTAGTTCGCATGCCTCTGCAAACGTCAGTGTGGCCCTCTTCAGAAGCTCTGCTTGCGTTGTCTCGTCTTTCAGCCCGGCAACGAAACGGTCCCACAAAGCTTTATCTAAAAATGCCCCGAAATTGCAGGAGGCAGCCAGACTCTTCAATTCCAACGCAAAGGCCGCCACCGGTTCTGTGTCCTTCTGAATTCGGCAGTTGAATCGGAAACGTTCCGCTATGACCATGGGTTCCGGAGCATAATGCTTCTTGAGGGCTTGAATTAGTTGCGCACATTCTTTCTCCTCGAGCTTCGCGGGAGCTAGTAGATTTTTAAGCGTGCGATAGGTTTTCTTCTCAATAGCGGTAACCAGCACCGAAACTTTGAGGTCGTCGCTCACCTGGGTCGCCCGAAGGAAGTGCTCGAACCGCTCGGTGTACGATTCGAAATCCTCGTCTCCGTCCTCGAGAAAGGGTTCGAACTTGCCAGCCGCTGCCATGTTGAAGTCTTCCGCTCCCAAAAATGCCTGGCGTCTGTCGGCAGTGTAGATTCGCACGGATCCCATCCTCGTCGCCACTATTATATCTTTGTCTAAACAGGGGCGAGACCGGCAGGCAGCACACGGTGGCTAAGTGCAACACATGTTTATTCGGTCACACAACTAACTCTTTTACCCAGGAAGGAAAAAGGGGCGGTTGCTTATATACATGATCGAGCCACTATTACACCGAGCATTGACGTCACGAAGCCCAACAGTCCGAGTCCGGGTCACCGCTGATAGCGAAGCGCGTCTGCGTCAGGCCCCCCTATGCACAAGCACGATAACACAACACACACCACCACAGGCACGGGAGAGCGTCCTGCCCGCACTGAGACAGACACATCGAGTCCAAAAAATTTTACAAAACAACATTCCGTAATTATTATCACCAAACACTAAGCAGCAATGAGAAGGTTTGTCTGAACTTTCGCCAAAGTGTAATTCTGATTCGAGAATGACTTTTCTATTAACTGCTTTCAAATAAACTAACTGTCAAGTGACGCATTTCCCGTGGCATACCTGTGTGCTAGCGTGAGTAATCCGCTGTAGCCTACCAGGCCTCATACTCATAAAATAGAGCCTTTTGCCTCACGCTATCTTTTAGTTCCCAAAGTTTTGTGCCGCCAAAGCTAGTCGTCAGTTCCCCAAAAGCTGACGAAGAGACAACTGTCATGCTGCACCTGCGTCGGGAACATCCACATCCGCTAATGCACACTACAGTGCCCCTGCCTGGATAAACTACTACTTGACTTTCCCTTGCAGCTACTACTCTCACAAAGTGTACACATAAACTCATGAAGTTATTTCTTATTTCCACATTAGACGCATGCGAACAAAACATTAAATTAATAAAATAAACTTTCGCATGAACCCTGAAAAAACTAGCCAGGAATACCTTTGCGTCTCTGCGCTCAGTCGTACATAGTTCATAACGTCGCCCCTGCTCATTTACGCGCATCTACTATGACGCAGGCTCCTATGCGTGTCGTTTATGCAATCGTACAATGGTTACGTTAGAAAAATGTACAATGCACAAGACATGAACAAAACCGAGAATGGTTTAGCTAAACACTATTTAGTAGCCGATGTACTAAAAGAACACATTCTCAAACCCAAAACAAACTTTAACTGTAAAATTCAAACTTCAAAACAAAACGAATCCACTAGTGAACATTGTCAAAAACCTACCGCTGTCTACTCCCTTTTGAGATGAACGCGTGGTGTCGCGTCCTGTGAGGCTTTCTTGGCGAATGAGAAATAAAGCAATGGCAAAATCCATTCGCTTCGCCACCGACCCCCGCTAAGCTCCTCGCTGGCAGCCAGAGTTCTTATTCTCCTTTACTAAGGTCATCTCGGAAGACACGCCAGCCGAAATGACACGAGCAGACACAGTGGCAGTGACAAATTCAGCCGGCAGTGCAAAAGCAAGACAGGTTCGGGCAAGCTATACTATGCCATCGTGTGACAAGAAAATTTGTCTCGGGCCGATTTTTTTGCATCGGCCTCGCAGCATGTTTTTGCCGCGTTGCGCCACTGGCACGCAGCGGTCAATAAGACATTCGTATCATCTGTGGTGGCTGGGGAAACCATTCGTATAACACCAAATCACGGTGTATTTTATATAATGTAGCCCATACAAAACAACCTTAAAATTCGTATCATCCCAAAATTCGCATCAACCGTAATCGTATCATCGAGATTCTACTGTATAATCCTAGATCCAAGAAACATTTGTTACCTCACGACAATGCCCAATCCAAGCTTCGCAATGAATTTTCTGTAGTCCGCCTTGAATGAGTCTTGTGTTTCTGTAGCTATACAGTGCACAAGTTGCAGCAAGCGGGCTATCCACCTGATTCGATATATAACATAAGACGCAACAAAACAAACCAGAAATATTGCACAAAGAAGGTGAAGCATGTGCACATGATGCCGTACATTTCATACGACATAAAAAGAATAACGTTCAAGTTGTGCTGTCTGTCCGTGCCCTGCAGATGCTCTGGATGCACAAGAAAACACAAGAACAAGTTCACTGAGTGCACTTTCAATGTGATTTATAGAATTCCTCGAAGTTGTAGACACCAGTACATTGGCCAAATTGATGGGTGCTTTAATTAAAGGGCTAAAGACCATGATTACATTGTGCGTAATACAAGTAGTTGCTTTTTATCTGACCATTGTAGGTGTTGTGGCTGCTCTCCTTATTTTTACAGTGCACAGTTCTTTACGAAAGCCAACGATAAGACAGAGCATGCAGGCCTTTTTGATTCATGAAGCAGTTGACAAGTGCATTAGCAGGGCATCCGTATCTTTATATGGTGCTGAGATTATGTATCTTTTGATGTCTGATGTGGAGATTATGTATCTCAGAAGTTTTATTTGATTGTCTTTTCATCTAACGTGTAGTGATGATGGTACTTCTTTTTTTTTTTGACAAAAAAAATTTTCTCATTGCGCTTCATTGTTATCGTAGCCTGGTATTTCTCTCTGCCTCAGGCGTGTGTGAAATCTCAAAATTTTTTATCTTCTTTTTCACTCATTAAACCAGGCTTGTCGACATGCCTTGGTCTCCTCATGACCGCTTCCTTTTTTTGGCACATATATAATGCCATGCTCGTTTATCAAGTTTTGTTATCGCCCCCATTGTATCTGTAAGTGCTGCCTCTCACAAACTGCCCTGGTTGACTAAGAATCTTTGAGATAATCTTAGAACCTTCCGATGCAATTGCGTGTATAGCAAACATTACAGATTCTTCTGGAACTTACGTGGCCACTAGTGATAACACTGGCATATTCTACGGCACATGTATAAATGCTGACGCACGTCAACGCTTATCTGATTATCAACGGCTGGCGCTCTGTCCGGCACTATCAGGGCCAGTGTGTATTGCTGTAGCCTGACCTTCAGTTTTCCAACCACGAGTTCGGCAAAATAAAGGGTTTCTTCTTTGAAATGCCGACTGGTGCCGACGTCATAACCATGTGACAATATGTACAGGTGATGGCAATAAAGACCAGTTGTCATTCGGTGCCTGTCATCTGTACTGTTTATTTTGTCCCTGTGTCTTTTACACTGCCTTTTTCACATAAGTTCCTTCTTGCCTAGCAGCACAACAACACTTCTGTTGCCACAGGCAGTAACAACATTCATGCGCTCACAGTCTGGCAAGAATGAAGCGTGGAGTCATGAAATTACTAGTCGGCTCAATAAAACATCAAATTGACATATCAGAAACAGCTGATTTGCAGCAAGCAGATAATTAAGAGAGCATAAGTTATTGAAAAAGATCACATTTAATTAGTGCACCTTCGAGGACCTCATTTTTGTACACGCACGTTTCTTCACACTCACGGGTGCCTCACACCCCCCCCCCCCCCCCCATTTTTTTTATGGTCACTCCCACAATGCCAATTCGTGAAGCAGAAAAGCTTCGTTCTAAAGGTGTGATTGTTGGCTCAAGCGTGCAACTACTGGCGTAGAAACGTGGTAGCAATATTGTGTAGGATTGCTTGTTGCAGGTCTTTCATTTCTTTATCAGATTACCTCATCTGATCCCTATGCAAACCACTCTATCAAAGCCTTATTTCATGATGGAAAGGCATGCAAGTTTAAGGGCTCATTTTCTTTTAGACACAATAATAAATAGAACTAACATACAATAATCCCAAAAGAATACAGGATGTTATTAGAAGTAATTGTAATGTGAATGTAAAGAGAGAAAAGCGGACGAAAAGATAACTTGCCACCAGCAGGAACTGAACCTTCGACCTTCGAATGGCACGTCTGATGCTCTACCACTGAGCTACTGTGGCAGTCACCCCTCTGCCCCCTTTGTAGGGTTTATATGTGCATTTAACTATGAAAGTGTCAGTCAGCACCACCTGTTGCCATTGCAGCAAGTGTAGAACGCTCGGTGACTGTGGCAAGTTATTTTTTCACCCACTTTCTTTACATTTGCATTACAGTATCTAATAACATCTTCTATACTTCCCTTGGCATCATTATCTATTAGTTCTAATCAATAAAGTGCCATGGTGGTGTTACATGGCATTTCTTTCACATCACATTGCTTGAAATGCATGCCAGGTGAATGCTTTAGTACAAACTGAATTACTGGCTTTGACTTATTACAAAATAAAGCCCTGACTTTGACTATGGCACACAAAGATGTTCTTAGTAAATCTGAGCTATCACGTAGGCTTTCTTGTGCTGCACTTGGGCTATGAGCTTATGGGAGCCAGTCTGGCATGTACTGAGTCCTTTATGAACGATAAATGCACAGGTGGCTGACACAAGGGTTTAGGTCCCAAGGTCGCCTGGCCATTGATAGTCGTGGCCACAAGGACCTGAATCTGGCAGTGGACCTTAATGGCTCAAGCCTTGATGCCAAAGGAGGCATTGTTGGAGGGGCCATCGAGCTGAGCCGTATTCACACACACAGTGAGTGCTTGAATATGGCTATGATGATGAGTACATGCACTGAGCAGCGTGCAATGGTGACATCAATGCAGTGGGCCTGCAGGAGAGCTGGGGTCGGGAGCCCGTGCACACTTTGACCCTGGCACTGTGGGCAGCTGAGAGCCGACTCGACTACATGGGCAGCAGTGTGCTCATGGGCCGCGTCTCCCAGCTCACTGTGGAGCTGCGGGATGAGTGGCGGCTTTGTGAAGGCTGTGAAGCTACCAAGCGTCCGGCCCTGCTGTTTGTCCATGGCCAGGTCAGTTCATTACTGCATGGTGTAACCTGAGACTCCAAAGGCATGGTGCCTCACACAGTAATAGACCACTTTTAATGCATGTCGCGGGAGTCACGAATATCTTCACAATAAACAGTACTGCACCATAACCAAAGCAACCTTTTTCAAGGCCCTTAATTGTGCAAAACGTGTTAAGCATGCAGCCTCGCGCATCTGAAAATTGAAGCTTGGATGCGTGGTGCTTACAACCATTCAAATTTCTGAATGCAAAAAAAAAATAGCGGCCAAAGAACCGCACTGCCAACAAAATGAACATGAAAGGGGGAGAGGGGGGTCTAGCTAAACGAAGAAACATCGTGGAAATTCACTGACTATTTCTCAAACTGCCTCGATTATAGGCAATACAAAGAAACTATGTTGAATCACGTCCAAAATTTTATGCGCTGAAAGATGCCAGTGATTTGATTTCACGGGTGCGCACCCAATTTCAAGACATTGCAATCAAACTGCGAACGACCGTTAAAGTGGTACACGTGCCACTCTCGTTTTCGTTAACGATGTCTATTCCTTTCCTTTAAGTGCAGCCCCTGCAAAGAGTGTCGTTTGTTTCGTAACAAACCGCAACTTTGGTAGCACGTGACCACTATTGAAATGCAACCAATGCTAATTAGGCCTAGCCTGCATTCAGTATGCTATTGCGGGAAGTTTTGTCTGAGACATGAATATTCGGTGTCGAAAAGATTGCACTCAAGCACTGAACCAGAATTAGCATCCATAATACGAAGTTTGGGTTCGCGGGCGAGAGATCAACAATGACGAAAACCTGCCAAGTATATGCAAGACCGCGCACTGGCAGCGAAGACGAATGCTTGTGTCATAAAGCCATAGAAGTTATAAAATTCATGAATGAGGTAGCAAACACAACATCTGTAGCAAGCTCAATAACGACAATGCTTTTCCCGAAAGGAAACCCTTGAGCACACTTCATAAAGAAGGGATTGCACGTGCCATGTTAAGCTGTGCGTAGCCGGAGCCACGCTAGCAATGCTAGTACACTGCAGCGGCATCAGCGCCTGTGCCAGGGCTAATGAGTCGCCTAGGCAACCACTCTCCTCCCACTCGGTGAGTGAGAGCAGCTAGCTACAGTTTTTTTTTTCCTCCATTCACCTTTGCACAGCTGCACAGCTGCTTTGAAGTTGAAAGTGATTGATCATGCTCTAAACAATGGGAACAGGGCCGCCGGTAGGCCCTTCAGAGTTGACGAGTTTTGTGTTCGCTACTTGTGACGGCAGCTGAAAGCCACGAAGACGCATTGGGCCTGCCGTGTGCCTAAGACTGGGATTGATGGTAAACTTTATTCCTTCAGCAGGAAACTGTGGACAATTCTACTGAAAAGCTGTCAGCCCAATACTGACATCCTATGCTTACCTTTTGAGGGCTCCTGTTAAGTGTTCAATACTACCGCTACGCCCGCAACGCCCACAAGCTTTGAGTATGGTATCCCGATTCTCGACTATTTGCTTGCACTTTTTGTGTCTCGAATAAATTTTGCCTTGTGTTGAACCTCTCCTTTTATTGTTGAGGTAAATTTTAATTAGTACTTCTCAAAGCTTGCTGTTAGTTGCTGGTGTGAGAATCCCGATTTGCGGCCAATTCTTTTTTTTTTTTTTTGCTCTGTACGTTTTTGTGGAAAGTTTACCCTATGTAATTCTCGCACCCCCAACTTTTCATCGGTTTTCCGCTGAAAAAAGTGCAAGGATTATGTGAGTAAATACTGTAAATACAGTACATCATATAGAGGAGGGGCAAGTATGAAAAGCAATGAAAAAAAAAACAAAAAAATACATGAACAATCAATCAGATGAGCACATGTTTAAAAGGAATCGGGTCACGTTTTGTTTCTACAGATGATTATTCCAATTGACTGAGGTTCTCGGAAAAAATGACTGTGGGCACGTGACAGTATTATACAACGAAACGAGCAGATGTGAATGGTGGTGGGTGAACAAAGAGTGATCGGAGAGTGGTGTTGTGATGATAACAAATGCCCGACAAGCCAAGTAGCTCCTTGGTTCATTCAAATGCCTCATCACATGAGTGCCATGTGGTCATTCTCAGTAAGTTCAGTAAGTTATGAAGGTACCGAAATTTTACTAAGGGGCCTACCACAAACACAGCAGTTGGTCCGCGATAAGGAAGGTTATGTTATTCCATATGAACTGGCAGAGACTGACTTCATAATGGTACAGGAAGGCTTGGTTGCGACAGAAAAGTAGAGTTTTTTCTGTTGAAAACTGCAGTATGCTTTGGGTGACTTCCTGTGTTTGGTTGTGCCATCCTCCTTTGTAGGGAAAAACTTCGCATAAAATTCGCTCCTGCAGTAGGCACATTGTGCATTTATTTATTTTTTCCACAGGACCTATCCAGCCTTTAAACTTTAGCAGAGATTTTCAACTTTTTCTATAATGGTGGTTATACTTAGATGGCGTAATAAAACAAAAATAACGTACTTCAACACTTGAAAGTCCCACAAAAAGTCACTAACACTCCAAAGAGATAGAATGTCTCTTGGATGACTGAAAAAACACTAAATTTAGCCACTTGCTTGCTAAGTTAACACTACTGCAGAAAAGCTCCCCAAACTTTTTGTGCGGCCTCCTAACCTTGCCGCAGGGTGGCACTGCTAGAGTTAACGCGCTAACCCCAATGATGGTGATAGTGAACCAATGCGAGCACCACGCCCCCTACCACTCATCGGCTGTCAAACCCAAATGCAGCATATTTACGAGACGTGTATGCCACGAGGTGCTATTATAACTTTGTTACAGGTGGTGATAGATCCAACACAGTGTTGCTTTCTTTTTGTACAACCACCACGGATGCCATTTAACAGACCATCAGTCCAGTCAATCTGTTCTTTCAACAACTTTTAGCCAACTGCGTCCCATAGAACCTTTGTATTTCTAGAAATAATTCTGCATTGAGCAAGCCTCTACTTAAGCAAACAGAAGGTAGCGAAAAAGGTGTTGGAATGCCCATCACTGATGAAAAATGCACACACGCAGCACACTATAAGGCAGCATTCAAAGGTGGCGAGCAACCAAATCGGGTTAGATTCGCTTGGATCGCAAGGCGACTCACAAATGCTATCAATGAGGCCAGTTGTCGAACGAACAAAAAAAAAAGGGAAATTTTAAAAAAATTTTTTTCCTTGCCTCGCAGCATTTATTAGTACCTAACAGACAATAAAGCCAAGAAGCCTGAAAGTTAAGGTTGCTAAACTAGCACTTGGTGCTGCGACAATCTAGATTTTTTTTATTTACCTAAGTAGTCACCTCCTACAGGTGGATAGCAAAAAACCTGCCTCTCGCAAAAGATTGTGGGCGCCTGTCTGCGTGGACGTTCAATTCGAGAGTCGGCGCCGCTGTACAGGCACTGTTGCCTTTCTTCATGGTTCATTGAGCAGTTGAAATGAAATTTATTAGTAAACTACAGCATCACATTTCAGAAAGCTGTCTTAGTTTAGAGGAAAATGCAATCACTACTGGACAGTTATACAAGGTGAGAATGGCCATATCGCCATGTTCCTTCCACAAGTTTTATTATCACCCCGTTGCACTCTACATGATTCTCAGCGCAAACTGGGCATGCACTGTTTGAGAAGCTTTAGAACTGTAGTAGATCATTTCTTTAGCATTATGCCCACATCGCCAACATTACAGATTATTCTGGAACCAGCGTGGCCGCTAGTGATAACTCTAGAATATTTCACAGCATGTGTATGAATGCTGACGCACATCACCGCTGGTCAGTTGATCGTTGGCCGACGCTCTGTTCGCCGCTAACAGTGCCCGTGTGTTGCTGCAATCTGACCTTGAGTTTCCTGGCCGAATAAACCATTTCAGAACATCGTGTCTGCTGCCTTCGTCCAGGTTACGACTATGTGACATCTGGAGGAGGTTCCGGTTCTTTGTTGTACCGGATGCCCCTGTCACGCCGTAAACCCAGCACAGGTTGGAAAGAACATATCAACGCCAATCCCGAGCTACGAACAAGCCGCCGGCAACTGGGTCTACCGCCAGAGTACCGGCCTTTACCTGTAAAGACCCGGCAAACCACAAACCCGACCTCAAACATGGCGACAGTGACAGCTCCTGTGCCTCCTTCACCGATTTTTTTCTGGCAACCCAAAGAACCACCGACCTTCCAGGGTTCAGCTCTGGAACACCCGGAGAGCTGGCTGGAAGCATACGACTGAGTCGCTGTTTGCAATACATGTACCAGCGAAGATCAGCTTAGTCATGTGTGTTTCGCCTTGCAGGATGCCACTTGTACCTGGTTCGAGAACCAAGAGCGAACCTTCACAACGTGAGACGTATTCCGCACCAGGTTTCTCGCTACATTCACGAGCATTATCTGCAAGAAGAGAGCTGAGGCGATGCTTTAAACCCATTTGCAGCTCCCAAACAAAAACATGACGCTTTTCACGAAAGAGATGACCAAACTATTCCGCCACGCCGACCCCGAAATGCCTGAAGATAAGAAAGTTCATTTCCTCATGCGAGGAGTAAAGCAGGAGCTGTTCGCGGGTCTGCTGCAGAACCCACCAAGCACTGTCTAAGAATTCATCTTCAAAGCAACGACGACTGAAAACTCTGGAGGTGCGCACCCGACAATTCAATCGTCGCTTGACGCCAGAGTATGCAGAAACTGTGGGGTCTCGAATTGGCGAATGAATTCCCCGCCATGCTCTTGGAGTGAAAGGACACCGTTGACGCGGTCGGTACAAACCAACAAACACATACACATACATTTATTTAACTAACTTTAGAAGGACGATATCATCTGCCAAATCGGTACATCAATCGTAATCAGCCCGTGAAGACATCCTTACACACAATTTCCATACACTCCAAAACATAACAAACACACAATAACACGACAAACATACAATAACATACTCAAGGTGGTGTCGCCAACGCTTGACTTACTACGTGGAACCCCGTCGCGAAGCCCGCGGT